CAATCCTATTAACAATGACAACACCATTTCCTTTATCAGGTCTTGTAATAATTATAGAGTCATCATTTCGAAAATTCTGAAGAGTTTTCCATTCTTCCTTGCTCAGAATTCGTTTTTGCCGAGTAAAAGTTTTAAATCTTTCGTTTTTTTGTAGCCGCCACTTCTGAAGATGCGTGCTGTGGCATGCGAAAACGTCAAGAAAATTTTAGATTGTTGTTCCAAACCATGCGTAGTTCATGTGTTATGTTTGTTGCCGCTGTTTGCATTTTATTACTTGTTAAATAAAACAAGAAAATATCGAGTTTCATTATTTTTAGCCAATTGAGTCAATTACTGATGTCTACAGTTTCAAGATTGACAAACTTCTTATTTGAGGCAATTGCTAAAAGTTGTTATATCAAGATATCGAGTAAGGTGAACAGGTTTCAATAATTGAAGTTTTACGATTTTGGAGCTGAGGGCCTCTTTGATGTAATTATTGATAGATGTTAAAAAGCATACTCATTGTTACAGTAGACCTTTGATTGTGCTAACTGCTATTAATAATAAGAGAAATCAGAGTTAACAATTATTCCACGAGTGCGCTTTGCGTATAAAACAATTAGATTATTCGCTCTCGATTTCTTTCGCGTGATAGTTGACGAAGGCGCAGCCCAAGTTAACTATCACGCGTAGCAATCGACAGCGAATAATGTAATTGTTTTAGTATAAGTCTACTAGTCGTTCAAACCTTTATCTAAATCCTCTTCACAGACACTTCGAAAACGCTAAGAAGCGATCGTCATATTGTTAAGAAGGGCACACTTCTACGCCACTCACTATCACAGAATAGATAGTGAATAGCGTAGCCAATCAGACAACGGCATTCGTGATAGAACGCTAGTAGATTTATTTATACTGAAAGATGAAAGATAGCCAACGAGGCGCGTAGCACCGAGTTGGCAATTATCATCTCATACCCAACAAGCGCCAATGGAATATTTTTTTTTTTACTTACACTACTAAGACTTCTTACAATACTAACATTATCTACAATACTTACATCACTTACAATACTATTATCACTTACGCCACTAGTGACCTTACTTACAATACGACCGTTACTTACACTACGATTACTACTAACACTACGATTACACACAACAACTACTACAGATGCTCTGCCTACACAACTGATAATACAAATCTTACTCTCCATTGTACTCTAATTACACAATTACTTTTCGTGTTAACAAGATACTTTATATGAAATTACAATACAGCTATTTGAATTATCATGAATGTACATATACATTTACATAATTTACAAGCAGCACTTACTCCTTTACAAAAAAAATTGGATTGTCATTCAAAACTAGGTTCCATTTTGCCTGAAAATGTATTAAGCTTAAGATGCTTTTAGAGGCTATAAGCTTTTCAATTTCATATTTTCTCTTGACCACATCTTCGAAAGGCAAAAAGAGAGGGATTTGTTTATTTTTGCGACAATTCCATAAATA